AGATCAAGCTCTTGTTCTTCTGTAGTTTAAGAAAATGTTTACCATAACTCCTTATGTTTCTTATTGTTCCTACAAAACAACAAATCAAAATATTGAGTCATGTCCAAAAATGGTTACATGGAATACAAGCACTAATTGTTTCTCATGGGCTGGAGTTTATTGTGACGAGACAACGGGACAAGTGATTGAGCTTGACCTTAGTTGCAGCCAACTTCAAGGTAAGTTTCATCCCAACTGTAGCCTCTTTCAACTCTCCTCTCTAAAAAGGCTTGATTTGTCTCGTAATGATTTCTCTCGGTCGCACATTTCACCTAAAGTTGGTGAGTTTTCTAGCTTAACACATCTTGATCTATTAGATTCGAATATGTCAGGTCTGATCCCTTCTGAAATCTCTCACATTTCAAAATAGTAAGTTCTACGAATCTCAAGAAATAATCCACATGACTCGCAATTTTAAACTTCTAGTTAAAAACTTAATCCAATTAAGAGAACTTGACCTTTTCTTAGTGGACATCTCTTTCACCATTCCTCTAAATTTCTCTTCATCTTTAATATATCTAGAACTCTAAGAGACACAACTATTTGGAAATAATATATCTAGAACTTTAAGAGACACAACTATTTGGAAATAATATATCTAGAACTTTAAGAGACACAACTATTTGGAAATAATATATCTAGAACTTTAAGAGACACAACTATTTGGAATATTTCTGGCAAGAGTTTTCCACCTTTCAAACTTGAAATATCTTTATTTATCATCCAATCCACAGCTCACAGTACAGTTTCCCACAACCAAATGGAATAGCAGTAAATCCCTCATGGAGTTATATCTCACTGGTGTGAATTTTATTTGATAAGATACCTCAATCATTTAGCTATTTAACTTTATTACTTCAATTGGACATGAGATCTTGTAATCTCTCAGGGTCCATTCCTCGACCGCTATGGAATCTCACCAACGTAGAGTATCTGGTCCTTGATAATAACTACTTAGAAGGACCAATTTCCTTGTTCACACTTGAGAAGCTCATAGTTTTATCACTTCAAAATAAATATATTGCGTGCATGTCCTTTAACGGTAGATAGAGTCCACAACTTGAAAGCTTAGATATTTCTTCCAATTCCCTAGCTGGTCCAATTCCTTCAAATATAAGTGTCACTCCCCGAGGCTACCCCCTAGACGTAACACATGACCTAGGATCACGAGAGACCCCAAGCTAACCCTGAGTTTGGTATATCACAAGCATATGGAATATATATAACTAAGTAAGCGGAAGCATAACTGTAAAATGAGTCAAAACTAAAGGACTCCAAATGAGCGTAAATCTGAATATCTGTGGAAAACAACCCCAAAACGTTGAACACTGACTCTATGTCTGAAAGCCTCTAATACTGATGAGCTGCTAGGACTAGTCCCCAACTAACTCTAAAACTATCGAAAGATTCAAAATAAGCTAACTACACCAAACATGAAGAAAAATCCTCGAACTATGATGACTCACCACTGAAGTTGCTGAGTATGAGTTGCAAGTCGAACTAAGCATAATCTGGATGTTGAGTGCCACAACATACATCATAAAATGATGTAGCGTAAAGTATGTAAATTCTTGACTGCAACAACTTCTAAGTTTCGTTTGTTTCATTCTTCTTCAAATGGGTAGGAAGAGATCGTTAGTGGGTGGGTGAGAGCCTCTTGCACATGAAAATGGAGCCCCGCAAGTGGTAGAGGTCGAGGTGGACCTAGAGGTCAACGAAGAACAAAAGTTACTGTACAAGATTGAGAGCACAAGTGGACATTGTCAGCAGAGCCTATTATAAAGGTCGAGCAGGTTCACCGTGAATCAGATGGCGTGGGGCTATCCCAGCCTGCACCAAGATTTATTTCCAAGCAAATTTTACATGACACTCTAACAATGATCTTCAACTTTATTGATGCTACGTCTGAGGTGGGGTCTTAGACTGGTACATCGACTAGTCCCCATATTAGAGATGAGGCTCAGACTTCAACGCAGGAAGTGGTACTAGGTGCATAAGGCAGCTAGGACTGTCATTTCTTCTAAGGAGCAAAAGATGTTAGGACGATCATCAGATTGGGTCCTCCAAGGTTCTCACGTTCTATAGGTGAGGATCCCACAAGTTTCTAGTGAATTTCTAACCTTGGTCTAGTTGTGTCACACATGGCTAATAACACTGCTTTCCCTATGGATGGGCCAGCGAACAGTGGTAGAGGTCAAATCTGGAGTGTAGACCAGCTGGATCACCACTCACCTCCTATGTTATAGCTCATTTCTCTGAGGCTTTCTTGGAGAAATATGTACCTCGTAGCTTCAAAGAGAGGTTGTCGGATGACTTCACAGATCTGTTGTAGGAAGTATGTCAATTTCAGAGTATGATACACGGCTTCATGAGCTAGCCAATCATACAACTACACTTATGGGAATAGAGCATATGTGAGTGCGTAGGTTGGTCAAAAGTTTGGCATTTCCCCTTTGGCTTGCTACAGAGTAGATGGTAGTGTTGGGATATTAATTTAATAGATAGTCTATCATGTGCACAACATCGAGGGGATACGTCATGAGGCCTATGGAGGTAACAACAAGAGGCCCCATCGTGATGGTGGTTTAACCAGGTCTCAGTTATGTGGTAAAGGTTTCCCAAGTAGAGGTCACCCATAATAGTTTCAGCCTAGTAGGCCAATTCTGGCTTCTTCACAAATTAAAGATGATGGTTCCATGGTGTCATTGGTCAGGGCAGCCATGCTTTGGCCATACTTCTTGGGGTTCACATTAGGAATACATGGGTTGTAATGGTTAGTCGTGTCCAATCATATCGTCTTAACATATTTTTTCTAGTAGGGGATGTTATAAGTGTGGTGTGTTGGGCTACTATGTTAGATATTGTCCTATGATTCATCACCGCATAAGACATGGTTAGTAGTTTCAAGCCCATAGGGCTCTTATATCGTTAACTAAATGTGGCTCATAAGGTAGAAGGGGTGGTCCCTAGGGTGATCGAGGTGTTTCTCAATCACTCAAGTTAGGTTGTGGAAGTGGACGCGACAACATAAATGCATTTTACGTAAGCCAGAGGTGGAGGTTTCATATGTTGTCATCATAGGTAGGATCTTCGTCTCTCATCAGCCTTCTTATGCTTTGTTTGATTTGAGATATTCTTATTCATTTGTATCTTCCTATTATGATACACATTATAATTTATCTTGTAAGACTTTGCATGTACCTGTGCGTGTGGCTATCTCCCTAAGTGATTTTTTAGTTGTGCATCGAGCGTATAGATCAAGTGTGGTGTCCATATTAGGGTATGACACTTTGTAGACTTGATTGTGTTGGATATGATAGATTTTGATGTGATATTACGCATGGATTGTCTGTCTCTTTATTATGCGGTCTTGGATTGTTTTTCCAATACTATCACTTTGAGCATGCATGGTATCCCTCCGATTGTGCGGATGGATGTCAATAGCCATATGTCAAGGGGTGTGATATTATTTATTATAGTGTGGGGGTTGGTAGGAAGGGTTGTATAGCTTATCTTGCTTATGTTTGGGATACCACTAGCGAAATTCCTTCTAACAAGGCAGTTCTTATTTTTAGAAAGTTCTTTGATGTGTTTCTTTCTGTTCTACCTGGTCTTTCTCCTGATAGCGACATTATATTGACTTCAACATTGATGTTGAACAGGGCATGCGACTAGTAACTATATTCCCTATCAGATGGATCCAACTGAGTTGAGTAACCTTAAGGAGCAGCTGTAGGACCATGTGAGTAAGGGGTTCCTTAGGCCTAGTGTTTCTCATTGAGGTACTCATGTTCTGTTTGTGAAGAATAAGGATTGTTTATTGCATATGTGTATTGACTATAGGTAGTTGAACAAGGTGACCATCAAGAATAGATATTTAATAGTGTGTATTGATAATTGTTTGACCAGCTAGAGGGTGTAGCGATGTTCTCTAAGATAGATTTGAGATCAAGCTACCTCTTGTTGAGGATTATGGTGGTGGACTTCCGAAGACTAGTATTTGGACTCGCTACGACTACTACAAGTTCCTAGTCATGTCTTTCTAGTTGACCAATACCCCAACAACATTCAAAGAATTTATAAACCGTGTGGTTCAGCCAAATTTAGAGTCATTTGTGATAGTTTTCATAGATGACATTCTAATCTACTCCTGGAGTAGGGAGCATATGAGCAACATCTGAGAATTGTGAACCATACATTGCGAGATGAGCAGTTGTATGCCAAATTCACAAAGTGTGAGTTTTGCCTTGAGTGTGTGGAATTCTTAGAAACCATTTGTTTAAGAACATGATTACAGTATATAGACAAAGATTAAGGCAGTACGTGATTGGTCCTAGCCTACTTTTCCTACTGATGTTTAGAGTTATGTTGGGTTAGCATGCTACTACACACTGTTTGTGAATGTATTTTCTTCTATAGTAGTACCTTTGACTAGATTCACTCATAAGAATGTCCCTTTTCAGTGGTCTGGCGAGTGTCATGAAGTGAGCTTTCTAAAGCTCACGACCTTGTTGACTTCACCTTTGATTTTGACACTTCATGTTGAACTTTATGGATTTATAGTCTACTATGATGCTTATGGTGTTGGCATAGGTTGTGTGTTGATGAAGTAGGTAAGAGTTATTACATATTTTTCTATGAAGTTGAATATTCATGAAAGGAAGTACCCAACTTCTGACTTGGAGTTAGCGGCGATAGTCTTCACGTTGAAGATTTAGAGGCACTACTTGTATGCAGTTCTCTGTGAGGTATTCACCAACCAGCATACTCTTTAGTACATTTTTAGTTGGAAGGACCTTATTGTGAGACATCCTAGGTTGTTAGAGTTCCTGAATGACTATGATGTGACAATGCTCTATCACCTGAGCAAGACAAAAATCATAGCAGATCCATTGTGTCAATTTTCTACTGAATGCCTCTCAAAGTGAGAGATTCTTTCCATTATATAGAGAAAATAAAGATTACACATCCCTAAACGCATGTGGAAGAGTAATGACTCCTTTATCTATAGCTTCTCGTATATAATGACAATCCACTTCGATGTGTTTGGTCCTCTCATGAAAAACTGGATTAGTAGCAATCTGAATAGCACTTGTATTGTCAACGTGGAGAGGAGTAGCATGGGATTGAGGAAATCCAATCTTAGCAAGTACTCCACGAAGCCATACAACCTCGAAGCAAATAGTAGACATGGATCGATATTCAGCCTCTGTTGAAGATTTTGACACACGATCTTGCTTTTTACTCTTCCAAGATATCAATGACTCTCCAAGAAACATGTACCAACCAGAGATTGAACGACGACTATCAGGACATCCCGCCCAATCAAAATCACTGAAAGCATTAAGATGAATAGGAGAACCACTTGGAAAGAACAATACACGAATAGATGTTCCTACAAAGTACCGAATGATGCGACGAACAGCCACCAAGTGGAGATGACGAGTAGCTTGCATAAATTGACTAACTTGTTGAACTGCAAAAGAGATATCAAGCCGAGTAATAGTAAGGTAATTTAGACTCCCAACTAATTGTCAAAATATAGTTGGATCAGGAAGAAAATCGCCTTCCTCACGACGATACTTGACATTCAATTCTAGTGGAGTATCTACGGAGGAGAAAACTTGAAGACCAGCCAAAGAAATCAGATCCTGAATATATTTGTGTTGGTTTAGGAACACACCTGAAGCAACATTATGAACTTCCAAACCCAAAAAATAAGTAAGAGTACCAAGATCTTTCATATGAAAAGAATTTTTAAGCTGCTGTTGGAGGCTAGTGATTAGTGAAGAATCAGTTCCTGTGATAATAAAGTCATCTACATACACCAAAAGAAAACCACAACCTGCAGATGTTTTCCGAAGAAACAAAAATGAGTCATATTTGCTCTGCTCAAAAGAAAATTGTAGCAAAGTAGAGCAGAAGTTATCAAACCAAGTTCTTGGAGCTTGTTTTAATCCATACAAAGACCGCTTCAACTTGCATACATATGATGTAGGCGATGAAAGCAAACCACGTGGAGGTTTCATACAAATATCTTCTTTAAGATCATCATGGAGAAAAGCATTTTTGACATCCATTTGATAAAGAGACCAGTTTTGTGAAGTAACAATGGCAATAATAGTTCGCACCATAGTCATGTTGGCTATGGGTGCAAAAGTCTCCTCATAGTCCACCCCATCCTTTTGTCTGTTACCAAGAACAATCAATCGAGATTTGTACCGATCAAGAGTTCCATCAGAATGAAGTTTTATTGATTAAACCCATTTACATCCAATAGGGCGGATATTTGAAGGACATGAAACAATGTCCCATGTGTCATTTTCTTTAAGAGCCAAAAGTTCTTCCTCTATTGCTTCCTGCCAACATTCATGCTTGGAAGCTTGTGAGTAACAAGATGGAATAGATATGTTAGATAAGGTAGAGGAAAACCCATACCAATTGGGAGTACGAGATACTCTAGTAGATCGCCAAGTAGGCTCAACAGGACCAGATCTTGAATAATTCTCATATTCTAGTTGTGGTATAGTTTCAAGCGGCGGATCAGTGTCGGGATAGGATAAAGTTGGCCGACGTCGTTCATACACAAATTTAGGTTTGAACCTCTTAAAATAAGATGATAAATCCTCAAAAGTAGGAAGAAGAGGAGAAGTAGAAAATGAATCTACAATCATAGGAAAGAAATACTGATTCTCAAAGAAAATAACATTTCTAGAAATACGAAATTTGTGAGAACGTTGATCATAGCAAAACTTGATCATAGCAAATAAAACCTTTTTGTGTAGTACTATAACCCATAAAGGCACATTTAGTAGACTGTACCGAATGTTTATTGCACTGCGAAGGAGGCAAATGCACAAAACAAACACAACAATATATGAAAATCACTATAGTTAGGATTTTTGGTGATAAAGACGAAAATATGGAGACTCAAGATTTAGCACTTTAGATGGCAATCTATTAATTAAATAGACAGCAGTAGACAAAGCTTCCACCCAATATTTAGATGGTACAAAGGACTCAATCAATAAAGTACGAGTGACATCTAAAAGATGGCAATTTTTTCGTTCAGCAACTCCATTTTGTTGTGGTGTATGGGTGATGTTTATCATGACCAACGACACTACTTCCGATTCAAGTGTCTACGATCGTCGATAATATAGTAACCCAACCGAGGGTTGGGGTCGTGTCCCAAGGGAGTGGTTTTGAGAATTTATAGAAAAAAGAATTTAGTTCTAACTAGTCGTAGCTAAAGATATTAACAATTAAAAATATTGTAAATTAAAGGGGGACACAAGAGTGTCAATTAACAAATGGAGGTTTTGCCACAAGTAAGCTGAAATTAGCAGAATCAACAAAGAAATCTATGAATGAGAGGGGATTCTTGGGATGTAACCGGAATATGGGTTAATCTAAATTATTGGGTACATGCTTTCGATAGAAAATTTATAGAGTAATAGGTACTAGGCTAAGCTTTATGTGGGAATAAGTTCTCTCTCGAGCAACTTACTACGTTTTAAATGGGTTCCTCTCGGATACCCACTTGCCGCATCAAGACCAACCTACACCTTACCCCACTCACTCTCTCGAGCTGAGTGTTAGGATATGGGACTAGGGCTCACCCTCTCGGGCTGAACCTCATGTCAACCCACTCCTTAGGCCATCAGTCTAGCAGTCTTGGTTTCACGACCTCTCTCTCGAGCAAGCCGAAAACACATGGGTGGACTTGTATTTGCAACTACAAACCCATTAAATTTGACCACAACTACTAGGTGAAATCACCATTAAACTACATTTAATCTATCAACAAGCATGACCCAACAACAATATTAACCCATATTCGTTAAATCACACCCCAAGAATGGGGTTTTTAGTCACACATCAAGAGATAGAAATTTATACCTAAATGAGCTTATATTCAAATGGGTATGAAAATTTAAGTCTTATTCCAAGCTAAGAATGAAGAAATCAAGTGACCCAAGTCCAAATCCTTGGAGATGAAACCCTCTTCTTTTTCAAGTCTTCAAAACCCTCTCAAACTCAAAGAAAATAAAAAGTACTATTCTATATGAAAATTATAATAATTGTTTTTTTTCACACTAAAAATCTGATACTAAGCTATAACTCTCAACGAGTATTTATAGTTTTTAAAAATATATGTGTTGCAGCGGATCATTCGGCGACATTAGTCGGAATCACCGATCAACTCGGCGATTCACCCTTTGGTGTAGTTCATCATCATCTCGTACCAACCTTCTACATCGTCGTGATCTGGGCCATTGGGCGGTATGGTACTGCTTCACAAAACTGCTCAGCAATGCGCTGGCTGCTCCTTTTTTCCGCCGACTTGATCCTTTTCTTCAGGGCTCAGCACACTGGAACAAAAGGCAAAGTAAGACCCTTTGGCGACTCGCCAAGTGGACTCGCCAATCCTCAGGGCTTCATTTCGTTCATTTTATCCCTTTTCGTTCCTTTTTTGCGACGTAGTGTCCAAGCTCTCTTTAACTTCAAATACCTGAAACTTAAGGGTTTTCATCAGATATTGAGATAAAATAAGCATTTGAGGATACAATTTCTATTAAAATATCACCCTAGATGAGTCCAATTTGTGGAATCATCAACACCCCACTTAAACTTTTGTTTGTCCTCAAGCAAACTCAAGTTCAGCCGTTCAAAAACGGTGTCTCAAATAGTGCTACACAAGACTGAATCATGAATTCACACAACAAGACTCAATTTACTTATGCAAGGATCAATTGTGTACTCAAAGATTCAAGTTGTGACACACCATTACCAAAGATTCTCATTCTCACAATACTTGCTTCAAATGCAAGTTCAAGCTCAACTATAGTGTTCAAATGCCCTGACATAAAGATGATTCCATATTCACACAATGGTTTCACAGTTTAAAGCTTTGGAATTAGATGCAACGCTCACACTCACAAAGAAGAACATAATGCATGCTTTCACCCATAGGTTTGCCCATATTTTCCAATCAACATTTGTTTCAGCTCAATCAAGATCAAAAAAGGTCTTTTCAAGGCTTGTAATGGGGCAGAGTGCAAATGTATGGTTATTTTGGCTCAGTGACTTTTCATCCTCATGAAATGTGGTGCTTTCAACACATCTTTTTCTCTTCCTTCATCAATTTTTTTTCTAGTGCTCGTAAGTCATCTAATTATTAACTCTTTATGGATTGCTTGGAAACCCAATTTCTTTTGTACTTTATTCCACTACTTTCTTTTTCATTTCTTTTCTTTTCTCTTTCTTGTTTTTATGGGGGGTTTCCATTTTTCGCAACACCATGGGTTAAGGGGGACTTTTCTTGCACTTTCTGATTCTCCCTTTCCCTTTTCATCACACCCCAACTTAGGCTAAGTTGGCTATTCTCTAAACCACAAATAAAGAGGATTATAGGTAGTGGATTAAGAAAGGTCTTGGTTTCATCAGGTTTCTTCCAAAGAAAGGTAAGGTTCTAGGGGTGTTCAAGAGAGGTTCACACACTCACGGGTAGGCCACAAAAGAGGTATATGTCAAATTGGCTCACACTCTTTAAAGTTGCCTAAGATCATCTCAAGAGCAAGCCTTTCTTAATCAACCAGACTAACGGAGAAAATTCTAGGTGTATTCATGCATGGTTCAAAGTAAGCTCATCACACAAGGCATTGACACTAAAGTCAAATAAGAATCCACACTTTAGCTAGTGTGCAACGGTCATCACAAGAGAATCAATTTGATAAATGGCTAATCACAACGAGATGCAAAGAGTTCACATATTGTCTATGCAACTTCATTTGGTCTCTTTGTAGCTGTACATTCATGTTTGTTCGATTGAGAGCACTATTCAAGTCATTGGTATTGATCAAAACTGAGACTCAAATATTCAAGAGAACAGCCACTTTAAATCACAAGAGGTGGCAAAAAAATTTGAAAAATAATTTTTTTTTGGAAGGGTCAAAATCACTTTGCAATTTAAAATAAAAGGAGCTACAAGCTCAAACATCCACATTGAAGCAGTATTAACACAATTTTAAACAGAACAACCCAAATATAAACATAAAACACGAAGCAAAAGTAGCACACAAAAGGTGTGGGCCTTACCTCACCACAAATAAAAGCATTTGTCCTCAAATGCAAATAAAAGTATCCATAAGTAAAAACAAAGAAAAATAGCGAGGAAGGTAAAGAGGGATCCTGTCTACGCAGTCGCTCCATCTGTCAGGGCCTCAATGCCCAGTATAGTGCTCTGAATATGGGCATCAGTGCCCAAATTAACTTCAGATGGGCCAGCACATGACAATACGATATGATCATTGCAAATGAGTACTAAATTTTTGAAGTAAATTCGGGGTTCGGAAAACCAACCTTTGTGCCGATTAAAGTACTTTGAAATGCTAGGAGGCAATGAAATCCAACTTCGAGCACAAATCAACAACAAAAATACTTATGGAATGCAAAAATATTTAAAATACTAACTAGGTGCGAGATTTGGAAGATTAAAAGCGAGGGAAAGTAAAAGAGTTGGAAGTTTAAACCTTTGGCCTATTAAGAAATCATCTAGTTCTCGCCCATTCGGTGACATTAGTCGTGGTCGCCGATCCATTATGTGACTCGCCTAGTGGATACTTACCTCACTGAGTTTTACTGGACCTCCAGTTAAACTAGGGATCCAAACGGCAAACTAGAACGCAATCGCCGACCAGGTCGGCGATTCGCCAATAATTTCTTAGGCACACCGAGTTTTACAGACTCCACTTTGAAGTTTTCTTTAGTCTAACGGCGGTCTAAGTCGGGGTTGCCGACTTCTTTGGCGATGCGCCGACCGGACTTTTAGTTCGCCAATCTCTACCTTCTAACACATTCCACACTTTGACCTACAGAATCAACACACCATTATTTCTAAAATAAACATAAAGCGAGAAAACCTTGGGTTGCTTCCCAAGAAGCTCCTTAGTTAACATTGTGGCACGATGTAGGTCTTGCCTCACTCTCTGTTATTGGAGCTAGGCCTAGTGTCACTAGGTAACCCCAATATATCGTTTGGATGGAGCTGAGGCATTGCAAACATCAGGAATGATCTGATGTGCTGGATTGATCTAGAATGAGATCTAATCAATTGATTCAATACTTCAAAATTCTC